CTTATGACAAATGGCCGAATGGACGAATGGCGTTGTTTGGGTTGATATATCTTTGTATTTAAAAGGAATAGCATCTATGCTGTCCTATTAATCCTCTAATGCCCAACTTTTTGTTTTGAATCTTCTTTGTCTTCAAGGAAATATGTAGTTTTGTATTATTATTTAATTTCAGTAATACAATTTGAAAGAATAGCTCATGTTTAAAAGAAGGAAATATCTCTATAAAAAATATTAATTCGAAAGCGCTACACTACAAAAAAATATTTCGGAAGAACAGCTCATGTTTAATGAAGGAATAATCTCCATTTAAAATATATTTTATTTGTTTATTAAGATCTAAGATTATATCTTTCAGTTGTTGTTAAAACTGTTTCCTAATTTAATGATTGCTGATTTGTGCAACATTAAAATCAAATATATCTTCAGTGATTGTTAAGTTGATTAAAGGAGATTAATTTTTATTAATCCATCGTTTCGATAAATTGAATTTCTTTCATTCGGCCTTTCTCGTCCATTCAGCAATTCGTCCATTCGGGCATTCGACCATTCGACCATTTGTCCTTTCATCCATTCGTCCTTTCGGTCATTCGTCCATTTAGCCATTTTTCATTCGGCTATTTGCCCTGAGACCGTTTAAATTAGGTGATGTATGGGTGCCTGAAGCGTGCACTTTTCGCTGTGCACTATCTGATATCTGATTGTAGGCAAACAGAATAAAAGAGAAAGGGAGTGCCAAAGCTTCCTCAATATGTTCATTTCTCCCGTCTTACTCGCTCTCACTCTCTTGCCAGTTGCAAATCTCTTAATTATGTGGTGTGGGCATCAGCGTCTACCAGCATGAGATTTCAGGAGCAACTGAAATTCGTGCTTGTTGGCTAGTACACTAGTGCTAGCAAATCCACACAGATTTAAACACCCCATTACCGATGGTTGCACAGGTTGCACCTGTCAAAACTTAAAACCTTTCAGTGGTTCATTCTGATGAATGAAGTGTTGATTAATTCAAGTTTGCTACCCAGCGGATTTCATGAATTTTATCTCCATTTCGACACTGTCTTGAATAAAAAATTGTTTTCGGGAGTGTTTTACGATTTTTCCTTTTAATTCTACTACTTTTGTATCACTTTCACTTCCACTAATTCACTTTCAATATCACTTTGAACTATAACAGATATGTATTTCGTTTACTACTTGCAAACTTCTTCAGTGTCTAGTAGTAAACGAAATATGTATCTGTTATAGTTCAAAGTGATAGTGAAAGTGAAAGTGATACAAAAGTACTAGAAATAGTAGTAGTAGAATTCAGTCGAAAGTGTTAGCCTTGTGATAAAAACGAGAATAAATTTAAGTTGAGTTTTGAAATTCTCCCCTTCCTGATAGTGTTCTTGGTTTGCGTGGGCGTACTTCGGTTCATACGAAAAGAGCTCTACAAGTTTATGTTACATGAGGTAGTGATTAATATTGTAATTGAGAATATATCCCTCGAATTCATGGAGCATTGAAAAATAAAACAATAACTAACATGTGGTGGTAAATTGTAACGAATACAGTTTTGGCCCAGGTAAAAAATGAGACACGCGACGCCTATGAGCATTTTTAAACAAAATGTTAGTAAACCCTTTTCTTGCAAGGCGTTAGCCGCCCACACAAACCAACAGCATCGTCGGGTTGTTTACAAATGCTGATGGGCCTTTTTCTATTGTTGCTCCAGAAATTATGCAAAGCAAAAGTCAAATATTTGAATTTCAGTTCACACTAACTGCATTTTTGTTTGTTATAGGCAACGATTAAAATTTCTGCTAAGGTTCAGCCATTTTAAATTTTGATTTTTTTTAAAAAGTCGTACTCAAAAATTAACAAAAAAAAGAAACACGCAACCGGTGCTTCTGATCAAAATGACGTCTGAGACAAACTTGTTTAAAGTTTTTTCATATTAAAATTAATAACAAATCTTGAAAACCTAAATATCTTAAAATGTTCTTGCTCGATTTATAAAATTTTATTTTATAAAAATAGCTTCTGCAAAATGCATACTTGGCAATTTTTAAAATTGTCGACACATACAAATTGGCAAAAGCGTAGAACAAGAACTTTGGGTCAATTTTTTTTAACTTTTTGATAAAACGTTTTTTTTATAAGGTTTTACTCAAAAACCAATGTTTGAAATACACAATTAGGCGGTTCCTGGTCATTTGATCGAATGCCGTTTAGCTGAATGCCGTTTGGCCGAATGCCGTTTGGTCGAATGATATTTGGCCAAACGGGTCGTTTGGCCGAATGCCGAACAACAAAACTTCAAAGAACTGCTCATGTTTGAAAAGAAGAAAAATCTCTTAAAATTTAGATCTTGCTGAAAATCTCCTTAATAAAGACAACCAACCAACCAACCCTCTTAAAATTGTTAAAATAATTTTTTATTCAATTTTAGAACAAGCTACATTTACTGTGAAAAAATAATAAGAACATCAAAATTACAAAGAAGGAAGAACCTCCTATTTTTTTAATTTTGATTTGTCTTAAAGCTGCGTTTACTATGCAAATATTAATAAGATCATCAAATCTCTAAATAACTGCTCATATTAAAAAGGGTGGCTAAAAATACCAGTTACATAACTAAAGGCTTATCTTCAAAAGAATAATGAACCCATCGACAGTATGAAAATTCAGTTATATACAATATAAAATTTATCAAAAAATCCCATATTTATAGTGTCAAAAACAGAATTATGGAAAGTAAAAAAAAAAAGGTTCACAGGGCTGTCATTTTGGAATCTAGTAGTGTTCAAAAATTGGAAATCTTTTTTCTAGTATTCGGCCAAACAACCCATTCGACCAGACGGCATTGGGCCAAACGGCGTTCGGTCAAATGGCATTCAGCCAAACGGCATTCGGCTAAATGACCGGACACCAAAAAGGCGTACACTCCCGATCATAAGTTTAAGGACACCCCCAGAAAAACATGGCAAATTTGTTATGCTCATATCTCTGTCATGTTACGTCCAGTTTTCGTTCTCTTTAGATCATTTGAAAGGTTTTGAATGGAACTTTCCTCGTAGGCAAATTGTTCAATATAATTTTCAAATTTTCACCCAAAGTTACAATATTTTTCAAAATTCTCTGAAGAATCGTGACTGATTTTCTCAGAATTGGGTTGGCCAAATTTTGAAATAAAAGTAGTAGTAGAACACTTATGCTATACTATTCATACCATTCAAATAACATTTGGAGATCGAAAATTGAACGTAAAATGAGACATCATTGAACAAAACATATTTGCTTGGTTTTTTGGGGGTCCTTAAACTAATGATCGGTAGTGTAGATCAGAAATTTCATCAAATGTTCTTGCTCTAAGATTTTTGTCAGTTTTCAAGATTCCATGGTTTTGAATATTCCAAAATTTTGCATTTTTCATAAGCTTTTTTTTGAATAAAATAAAAGTAAGAGGTTGTATCCAAGACACGATCGTAGATTTGACGTAGAATTATGTGTTCGGTATCAATATTTGACGACTGTGTTAGGGAAAGCGCTTTTTGTAGGTAATCGGTGATAATTTTGATCACCATTGAAACAGTTGAACATTTGTGTCATTTTCAATAGTTACCTATTGAAAATTGATAAAGTGTTCATTTTAGCAGATTTGTAGAACAATTTCTAATCGTTTGGCTTGATAAGAATTAAAATTCATCCGCTATTGACAGAGATATAAGTGGTCACAACCTGACCACTTTTCGTAACGCGGTCGATTTTGGTTTTTTGAAATTGCATCCCCAATATGTTGCTGAAAGACGTTATCCTACGTCAAAAAAAAATAGAGCAAGGACATTTTGAGATGGTTGGGTTCTTAATATTTTTGTAAACTTTTACTGAAATTTAAATAATTTTGTTACTGCTGTTCTTAATTGTGACGTGTATCGTAAATTATGCATAAACTTAGTTCCGTTAATTGTGAACAGAGGGCAGTGTGGTCCAAATATGTTTGGTACCTCTATAAATGCAGTTAAATTAACATCCAGAGTCCCTCTTTTCTTACATCATCGTCAACACAAATAATTGCCAAGCTCCGCCCCTTGATAAAAAATCTAATTGCATAAATAAGGGTTCCAACATTTTGTCAAGGCTAGGTACAATATTTTGTAGTCTGTGAAAGGGAAATCAGATAACGTGTGGAATCAATATACATGGCATGTTTTTTGGTTCTCTTGGAAATGGTAGTAAAGCGGGTAAAAATGTATGGGAAAATACTGTTTTTATTTAGATTCCGTACTACAATTTTTCGAAAAATTTCAAAGACGCCATTTTGAAAATTTTACAATATCCAAAATGGTCAAATTTTAGCTAAATTGTGAATGATTGCCCACAGCAAACAATCACGCACAGTTCCATACAAATCAGAGAACGTCAATATTTAAAAATTCAATATTTATTTTCGCTATTTTTCCTGGAACTGCTCTATTGTAGAAATTTGTTTTTTTTCCCTGCCGTACACCCAAATGTGACCCTGCTTCACACACGACGCGAATGACCGCTACAGAATGTTGCAGTCGTCCGCCGGAGCGAAGCGTTACTCAAAAGGCAAACAGTGTGGCTGCCTAATGATCCACCCACAAGCCCGTAACCGTCGTATAGCTAACAATTTGGTGCCCCCTTAGGAGATGCCTCAAAGCAAAGCAAGAGAAGCCAATTTCTGCCGATTGCAACAATGGCTGTCTAGCAGCACGACCACCACGACCGCCACGACGGTCACAGCGCGGTTTGCAAAAAAAAAAAAGAAAAGAAAAGAAAAAGAGGCTCCCAATTGTCTAATAAGTTGAGTTTGGAGTACCACTTTATCAGCGCCGGTTGATCAATAAAACAGGAAGCAAACATTTCTGCTTTAGATTCGTAGGCTCTTCAGACCCGACGTCGTCGCCGGCCAGGCAGGCCAAGTTTCATCACACCAACCAACCAACCAACCGGAGGGCTCACGGGAAACCTTAAACTGCATAATTACAAACTCTTACCTTATGCTCTTTTCGCTTCCGGAGATGGATGATCCACCCCTCGAGAGGACAGAAGTGTGTATGTATTTTTGTTGCTGCTGTTGTTGTGGTTGTTTGCAGCTAGCCAAACAAATCTTCTCTATTATGGAAGCTGGTGTTGCAGTTGTGTGTTTTGCGGCTCAGCTCAGCAGTACCAAACTCCGGGCGAGATGTGGATTTCGAACCGAAATTAGCTGCAGGCAGTTCACCGACGTTCACAACCTCTTTAAATCATTCAAACTCACCGACCCTAACGATATTATTAGCGCGCTTCGGTTGATTTTGACGCTCGGTTTGACTACATGGGCTTGCACTGGATGGAACTCGACTTTGGAGCTCTATCATCAATTAGAGAGCACGGCGGAGAAAGACAGAAATAGTAGCGTATATCTCTTGGCAACATTGCACGGTGTGTCGTTGATTGACTGTTGTTGGCGAAGAAATATCATGTTCATTTTTTTTTGCAATTTGGCCTGGAACTGCTCAGTTATAACAAAAATTACGAGTTATTTTAAAATCCTTCCATCGACCACATAACAGAATCTGATCATGCGGTTAAACATAACAAAGTTTGCGTGCTTTATATATTTTTTTGATTTACGGTTTAGCGACTTGCAGTCAATTTAATTGTTTGTAAGAAAGTTTGAACATACTGATAGGTTAGCACAGATCATCGGTAAGAGACGTATGTGTGAGAAAATTTGCGAAAAAATCTAAGGGCACCGGTGGGAATCTATATATATCTGTAATAGAATCTTACATTTCCCGGATGAATGAGGGGATTTCGTTGCTTTTCAAACATCAATTGGCCAAGCTTGTCAAAAAGGCTTTTTAATTCTTGTAAAATTTCTAAAATAGCGTCTTTGGAATTTTTCAAAAAAAAAAGTGTGACGTGACGTCTGAGACAAAGTTGTTTTTTTGGGTAGTATAAACAAAAAATTGCGTTCATTGATTTTAAGCAAAATTAAAAACAAAATGTTGAAAACCCAATATCTCGAAATGTTTTTACTTGCATTATGATTTTTTTTCGGAAAGAAAGCATATGAAATGTTCAAATTTTTGGAGAGTTCAAAACCATGGACACTTGACAACTGTCAAAAATCGTTGAACAATAGATTTTGGTAATTGTTTCAATCTCTTTTTAGTAGTTTGTTTTTGTTAATTTTTTCGCTGAAAATGATTAAAAATGTCTCACACATTGTTTTATAACATAAAAAACGTTTTAATAAAAAAGTTTTAAAAAATTTACTAAATGTTCTTGCTCTACGATTGTTGTCAATTTGAATCGTAGATAATTTTAAACATACCAAAAGTTTTTTTTCATATGCTTTCTTTTAAAAACAAAATTTAAAAATCAAACATGGTCATTTTAAGATAGGTTTTAATACTTTATTTTTTTAAATTTAATATTTTTTAAAGTTTTACCAGAAAAACGTTGTTTTCTCCACAACTTTGTGCCAAACTTCATTTCGATCAGAAATGGCATTTTCATGCCACAGTTTTTTAAAAAAAAAATCAAAGAGGTCATTTTGAAAAATTTTCATGCTCCAAAATGACCAATTTTTTGCAAAAATATAAATCATTGTCCATAACTAGCAATTATGCAAAATGTCATGCAAATCGGCGAAGGTCCAGTATTCCTGATTCGTCATTTGGGGTGGAACTGCTAGTTTTTAGATGTCGATTGACATCATTTGCCGCTCTCGAAGTGAAGAAATATCGCTCCGCGCCTAGTGATAAAAACAAACGCTTGAAAAAAAAAATCCGCTTAATTAAAAATAAATATATATTGTGACCTTAGATAATTGCTGAAACTTTATAAAAGTTCTGAAAGCATTAGGGAAATTCAGAGTTGAGTAGATCGATCTTGATCTTCAAAGCAGTTCAATTAATTTCACCGAAGTTACAAAAACTTAAGTTGAGTTTAAGATCCTAGGGTAAGTTACACGAATTACGTAAATTTAGGACAATTTAATTTAATTGAAAAAAAAAAATAGCTACAACCCTCATGAAGTTCCTTAAATTAAAGATAATTTAGTAAACATCAGGGGAGTTTAGAAACGGAAAAAGGGACACTGTAGTTCTAAGAACTTTAGGATATCCTTTAACTTCATAGATGCTCTTCAAGAAGTTCAAAGAACTTGAGTAAAATTTATTGAAGATCCAAGAACTGCAGGGCAGATAGGTCTAGGGATCTTCAGAGAAGCTTAGTGATCATAAGGGCAGCTTTAATGACTTATGGAAAGTTCAGACTTTCGGTAAAGGTTAGTTTCGATAAATTCATAAATTGAACAGTCCAGAGAAGTATAAACAGGAACAGTTCCATTTATTTCAGTGCAGTACCAAGAACCTGAGGAAAATTGCTAGAACATCAGTGTAGCTTCAAGAACATTTTGGAAGATCCGTAAGTAATTATTGAAAACTTCAACACAGTTCCAATATTCTTTGGGAAGTCCAGATAAGTTTGGAGAAATTTAGAGATATTTGGGCAGTTTAATTATTCCCAGGTAGTGTTTTCTACCCGTGTTTTCTATCTTGGGAAATTTACAAAAATCACGTTTCCCGGGAAACAATTTTAGAGGTATTTTTGGGTGCAATAAATATTTATATGAAAGAAGCAATTTGGACGGGGAGATTGTTAATGCCAACTTCTAGTTTCTAACATATCGTGCAAAGAGGGTGGGCTCTTCTCCCCACTCATTGGGGCATCCTTCTGTTAGATGGATTTTTTTTAAACTAGTTCGTTTATTTACTAGACTCAGTCGTGTGTGACACTTTGCGGAGCCAAAAATCAGTAATGTTTTAATTTACATTTTAAACAGCAGTAGTTCTAGGTTAGTATTGGGTACCAATTACTCGTGGCGGGATCGAGGTTAATGGGTAATAAATTCGATTGGAAGGATCTTGTTAGATGCCTTGTTTTTTGACCGATTGTATGATCCTGATATTGGAAGGAGATTCTCGTTTATCCCGTATATTAAGATTGATCAAGTCTAACAGTGAGGATAACCCATAGCTACTGACAGGTGTCTTGCTTCAATGAGTGGTAGTTCCATATCATCATCATCATCATCATCATCATCATCATCATCATCATCATCATCATCATCATCATCATCATCATCATCATCATCATCATCATCATCATCAAAATATAAGAAAACTCCCAGAAGAGACATAAGACAAATCTAAGGAGAAAGTTTGCATAAACGCCCTGAGGAAGCCTGAAGATCTTCTCTAGGTGAAGTCATCATTGAAGAATACTCTAGGTGAAGTCAGAGAAAATTTTCTGGGTGAGTCCAGAAAAAAGCTTCCGGCAAAATCAGAATACATTTTCATGGGAAGCCAAAAAGACTAATCAAGGAAGCCTAGATAAACTTCTTGAGCCGGAAAAGAATGTCGTTCGATTGGTGTCCACTGCCTTGAGCTTGATGCAGAGAGTAATTCACAACGCAACGTAGGGTCGGTCATCCTGGCCGAAACAGTCAGTGATGGCGAAAGTGCGGCCCGCGGGCTTGTATCTATGATGTATCAACCTCAGCTTGAATTTTTATTTGCATTACGAATGGGTTTCCGAAATGATTGGGAAATACGCAAAATTCGAGTTTAAATATGACCATCGAACAAAGATACAGCTGTTGAACAAATTGACATGAGCCACTGTTCTAGGTGCTCTTCCACAGTTGGCCGGAAGAAATGAATATCTCAAGCGTTCACAATAATAAGGCCCTAACTGCGATGATCGATTCTCTTCATTGGTACAGCTATTGGAAAAATGAGCCCCTCGGGATTAGATGAACCTTCCAGCGGAAGTCAAAGAAAAGGACTTCTGGAAGCAGCTTGCAAAAAAATCAGATGACTATTGCTAAAAAAATTGGAAGAGACTTCTGGGAGAATTCGGTTGAAGTAATGAAATTGGGTTGTTAGCGGTATGCTAAAATAAAACAGCGAAAACGTTATCTTCCATTTAATTCCACTTAATTAATTTGGTATCCATGGCAGGAAGTCAGGAGAATTTTTCGAAGGAAGTAAAAATATTAAAATTATGTGGTTTTATATTATAAATCGCTCTACACAGGTCAAGAAATAAACTGTCTTATGAATACAGTACTTGCACAAATAAAATGCTCAGTAGGAAACTTTTTCTTAAAAACGCGATTTTTGATGTTGTATCGATATTAAAGGTTAAGGTTTATTTTGCAAAAATATAGCATTTTCAGTGCATTGCCACAGTTCAAAATCAAAACTTGATAGAAATTTTTTCAATCAATTACAATTACAGATTATGCTTACATGCACTTTTGGCCCTGGCAGAAAAAAAAAGTGTTCATTAGTGTTAGTAGCTTTAGATGAGCGCACCTCTCCCTGTACTCATCTTGAATCTGTCATAGCTCATCCTGCCCATCACGAGCTATTGTTTACAGTTCATTTGGACATCTTCGACGCAAAGTTGGATATACTTTTTACGTTCTAAAATGGAAACCAAGCAAATTGCCGTTGCTTTGCAGAAGTTTATCGTGCGAGATTGTGAAAATCAAATACCTTTGCGTAAAATTGCAGTCATGTACGCGATAAGTTATTCTGGAGCCCGAAAGGTATGGAACAAGTTTCAGGAAACCGGATCAGTGGCGGATAAGTCAGGACGAGGCCGAAAACGGGTTACTACTCCTCGTGAAGATACAAATATTATTCGTCAGGGACCGAAAAATCCAAGAATAACAAACCTGCAGCTAACCATATCTGAACGTACTGTGCCTTCTAGACTCTATGAATCAGGCTAAAAAATAAACTGGCAGTGCATCGCCCATTGATTCGAAAGCAGAACAAAATCAAACGATTGATTGAACGCGGAAAACCCTGTTGAGTTTTGGAAACAAGTTCTATGGAGTGATGAGAATAAATTTGACTTCTTCGGGACCAAAGGGCATTAAAGCGCTTGGATAAAACCAAGTGAAAGTTTGTTGGACCGAAAAGTTCAGAAGACCGTCAAACATGGTCG